ACCATCATAAAGAAAAACCAGTTTGAATTGGCATAAGCAGAAGCTAGAAAGTCTCTGTGATGTAAGCAAAATAAAATTCTAGCTAGAGTTTGTTGTTTACCAAAGGCTCTGTGTTTTAGCCTTGCTTAATAAATAAATCAAATACTTACCTGGCAGGGGAGATACTGGGACGATGAAGGTGATTTTCACACCCCACCCGCCACCCACAGCGTGGCTTATCTATCACACTCCGGATGTGCTGACCCCTGCAATTTCCGCAAAACTTGACTACATAATTTGTGGTTGTGGGGGATTGCATTTGCACTTCTCCCTGTGGGGTGTAAAATAAGATAAGTACATTCTAGGTAAATAATGACGTATTTGCATCAAATTGAAATTTTGAAACTTCTTCATTGAAATAATTAAACTTACCAAAAAAATGGAAAATAATTACTTTCTCACTGAGTGTTTCAATCTTATTTAATGCCACTTTCCAGTATAGAGTCTCGCATATAATGCTATGCATCTCATGCTTTGGAAAAGTCTAATTTTTCTGATCAGTCAGGCTCATTATTTCTTTTGTGAATGGCACCATTTATCTATGACATTTATCAGGGAACTTAATTGCAATGTTTCTTACATGCTATTTAATTAGTTTGTATCATTTCATGTGGGCAGATAAAAGAGGAATTTTCAGGATAACAAAGTCTTAGTCACACATCACAGTTTATCCAAACCAGAACTAATCTTTTGTATGATGATTCAGTCAATGCTTTGTTGGGGGGATATGTATGAGGGGGAATGAGAAGGAAAATTTTAATTGGCCATAGTAAATTATTTTTAAGCAAATCAGTAAAATATTATATATGGAAATAACTATTTTTTTCCTGGGCCTTTTAATGATAAATCATATTCTGTAGGTAATTATATACAGCTATATATAGCTGGAAATACAGTGGCTTTTGTAAAATAATATTTAGCAAAGTTACATGTATTATTGCTTAAGCTTTCTATCTTAAAAGCTGATAGTTTAAGCAAAGTTTAGTTTGGGATTAAATTGTGGATTAAAGTTTAGCATTTCAAAGTTCATTTGCATTTCATAAGACTTCAGTTGCAGTTAGAGACTCAAACTCAATCCAAGAGATTTAAGTTGCCAAACACCCTGATTAAGGATTTGGTCTTTATTCAACAGCTAAGTTTGAGACTAGGTTAACAGAATGCACTACACTCATTTCTATTTAACTTCCATTTACTCAGCAGATAAAGAACCTGCCTATAATGCAGGAGACATGGGAGATGCAGGTTTGATCCCTGGGTTGGGGAGATCCACTGGAAGAGGAAATGGCAACCCACTCCAGTATTCTTGCCCGGGAAATCCCATGAACCGAGGAGCCATGCAGGCTACAGTCCAAAAAGGTTGCAAAGAGTCGAACACAACTGAATGACTAAGTGCACTTGCTTCCTCTCCAGATCAGAATTTGGTCTTTTCTTAAAGCATTATGAAACTTAAAAACACACACACACACAGGAATAATTACAAATGTCTTCACTTTTCATTTGTTTCCACAACTTTAGTCATATTCCATAGCATTCATCTCTATTAAGATTTTATATTCACAAAACTGAGTTAAAATTTGAAAATAGAATGCTGTATGAAAATGTTTTATTATCTTCAAAATAATACATCCTTGATTTCAGGATAAAAAAAATATATTTCCCAGTACTGATTAAGTATTTAAGATTTACAAAATTTCCTTCTCAGAATAACAATATATTCATTCATATAGAAATATCTGGACCTCCGAAGACTGAAGAAAAGGATTTTTAATTGCTATTCTTTTTTTTTTTTTTTTACTATTCCACTACATCTTAAGGCGTAGTCATTTTTATTTTATGTAATATGTTCCTGAGAAGTCATTATGCATTTTTGAAGGATGAAAAAAATGCAAAAAAGGATAGTCAGGAGGCTTTGTCTGATATGAGTTTAAAATTTTTCATTCTCAATAAAGTCTATCAGCAGGAAAGATTATGACCTTATATTAAAAGCAGAAGGAACAAAAGGTTTTGATTTTGTTTATATTGTAATCCTCTGGCAGCTGATAAATATTTTAACTGCATCCTCCAAATACAGCATTATGCCATGTACAAAATTATTTTAACTAGTTATGAAAAGTAGAAATTAATTACATAAGCTTTCCATTCAGAACAGTTTAGTGGGAAAAAAAGCTGTCTCTTAGTAAAAGAAGATGGACCTTAGAACCAACGGACCTGAATTATAATCAGAGTCCTCCCTTTGAGAACATAGTTTCACTTCTTTCAATTAATATTTGCAGATCTGCAAAATGAAAATAATAACATCTTTCTCATAGACATCAATAACCAATATATGGAACTGATTAGAAGAGTTGCTTCAAAAATAGTAGCTATCATTATCCAACTAGCAATTTTTAATAACACATTCATTTTGCCTTAAAAATTGAATTCAGTAGGTAGAATTAGTTTTTATTTTTATTATTATTATCAATTATTATTTTATATTATTATTTGTTCATTCCCTATGTTTTTACCAGAGACCTAGTCTGGATAGTAGATGCTAAAATTATGATTCTGAGTAAAATAAGAAATCTCTGTCCTCCTGGACTTACATTCTAACAGAAAACAAAGCCATTTTAAAAAATTAGTGTCCCTGAAGTGATAAACTGTTGAGCAAAAGAAGCATTGTGGTGGGCTGGGGTGGAGGGAAATGAGGAGAGAGCTTTCAATAAGGTGGTTGGAGAAGACTTCTCTGAGTGGTGACACCTTGACAGAGTCGTGAAGGGTAGGAAGGAGCCAGTGTAGGCCTGAGAGCATAGACCAGAGGCTTAGGGAAGGCCAGCAGGCCGCCTGAGGCAAGAAGGTCCTTGGGACATTTATCTACCAAGGAGAGGCCAAACAGGCTGAGACAGCTGGAGTGAATTGAGGAGCAAGGCAGGAGCCATGTCCTATGGAGACTCGCTAGCTCTAGTGAGGAGAGGAAAAAGGAGCCATTGGAGTAATGAAATTTAAATTAAAAAAATTTTTTTTTTCTAGGTGGCTATTCCACGTACTAAGGAGAGAGATATAGGTGCTAGATGAATAGTAGTCAATTGAATGGTGAGGCATAGGTGGAATATATTTTGAAGCTGGGGCTGATGAGGTGAGGAAAAAAAATGAATCAAGAAAGGCCACTACTTTTTGGCTCATGCACCTGGGAGGCGATGGTACGATACTTTGGTTCAAGAAAGTGAAGGGGGAGGTGTATTTGAGGACACAAGTCAAGAGTTAGGAATGGATAAAGAAGTGTGGTGTATAGATACAATGGAATATTACATGCATGCTAAGTCATTTCAGTCGTGTCCAACTCTTTGTGACCCTGTGGGCTGTAGCCTGCCAAGCTCCTCTGTCCATCAGATTCTTTAGGCAAGAATATTGGAGTGGGCTGTCATGCCCTCCTCCAGGGGATCTTCCTGGCCCAGGGATCAAGCACATGTCTTTTATGTTTCCTGCATTGGCAGATGGATTCTTCCCACCAGTGCCAACACATTACTCAGACATAAAAATGAATGAAATAATGCCACTTGCAGCAACATTGATGGACCTAGTATATATCATGCTAAGTCAGACAGAGAAAGACATATCATGATACTACTTATATGTGGAATCTAAAACAAAAAGATACAAATGAACTTATTTACAAAATAGGAATAAACCCCCAGACTTAGAAAACAAAGTTGTGGTTACCAAAAGAGAGAAGGGGGAGATAAATTAGGAGTCTGGGATTAAGATATATATACAGTATTGCATATAAAATAGATCACCAATGAGGATTTTCTGAACAGCACAGGGACGTATGGGCTTCCCTGGGGGCTCAACAGTAAAGACTCCACCTGCAATGCAGGAGCTGCAGGAGACACGGGTTTGATTCCTGGCTCAGGAAGATCCCCTCGAAGAAGGCATGGCAACCCACTGCCATATCTTGCCTGGGAAATCCCATGAACAGAGGAGCTTGACAGGCTACAGTCCATGGGGTTGCAAAGAGCTGGACACAACTGAAGCAACTTAGCACTCAATATTTTGTAATAACCTATAAGGCAAAAATCTGAAAAAGTATATTTAGATATACTCAGATATACACAGAATCACTGTGCTGTATGCCTGCAACTAACACAGCATTTTATATCAACTCTACTTCAGTTTAAAAAAAGAGTTCTGTTTTGGGCATGCAAAATTTAAGATGCTGTTAAGACAGTCAAGAGAAGGAACCAAGTGGATATTTGTATTTACCATCATTATTGGGCTTCTATTTATCTCAAATATTTCTATATTTTTTCATGTGTAAAATCTTGATTCGTGGTGCAAACACTCAAGTTTGTTGAAATGATCTTTGATTATAATTCTCTCAAGCAATTTTACTTGTAGAAAGCTCTTCTGAGCTCTATTCCCTTTAAGGAATTTCTTAAGTTTCAAAGGTATCTGTCTAAACCATTCTGAACCGTCCTCAGATCAGGAAATGCACAATATCTTAGGAGTATGACATATGGCAGTACCACTCATGAAGCACCCACCGAAGTTTCTGTAGTCTTCTGGATTCTCCTGGCATATTCAAGAAGTGGCGTTGTACCATATGCCCCAAAGGAGGATGCAGCAAACTGGCTCACAGGCCAAATCCAAGCCCCCATCTATTTTTGTAATTAAAGTTTAATGGGAATATTGCCATACCTATTCTTCAGATATTACACATGGCTCTATTCACACTACAATAGCAAAAGCTGAATAGCTGCTAGAGACTTATGGCCCACAACTCTTAAATACTATTTGTCCCTTTACGAGAGTTGACTGACCCCTGCTCTGAAGTTTCTCCTATTCAGGAAGCCTCATGATTTGGTGACTTGAGTTATGAACTAAGATCTCTATGCACTTACCACCTGAAACAATTGTGAGAGTTGATATTTGATATTCAGTGTTTAATTTTAGCAATTTTCTTTCTTGTTTTTTCTCTAAAGCTGAGACTTGGAGTTCCATCAAAGCAACAGAAACACCAGGTAAGTTCATTTTCTTTTCTCTGAGAATATTCGTGAGCAAAATCCCAAGAAGGAGACAAAGTAGATCAATCAGTTTGAGGACAGGGTGAAATAGTATAAAAGAAAATATTACAATGGCAACTAAAATATTTAGGAAACCTTGTATTACAAAAAAAAAATGCAGACAAGGAGAGTATGCAACAGTGTGTCTGAGTGCTCTTGGGCTTGGGTTAGTGGAACCAGCCCTGGGAAATGCATAAAGCTTGTGGAATTTTCCTCTCCCCAGAACCTACTGTTCCTGGTCTGTTTGTGTGGTCAGCTTGCCCTCTCCCAGAAGTATAGCGTGTGCTTTTGCTGTCGTCTCTACTTTCTAACATAGCCTGGTCCTGGCATCCAAAGAGATGATGTTATAAACCACAGTTAACAGTCTAAAATGCTATCACTTCGAGAAGCGCTCATGCTTTGCCATCCTTAGTTTTAAGCTGAAAATATTTTGGATGATGGAGCAATGGAAATTGGAGAAGATTATTGGCAGAGGAAAATGGTCATGTTGAATCTTCATATTGTTTTGAAATTGTAATTATTTGAAGATTTTTATTTTCCCAACTCCTATCTGGTACATGTACAAGTGACAGATCTCTTAGGTTATCAATATTAACCACCTTTGCTATATACAAAATGAGAAACATGTCAAATAAACCTAGGAGAGCATGAACCTTTTTTTTTTTTTTTTTGGACCAGAGAAAGATTTATTGCAGGCTGAGCAAGGAGAACAGGTGGCTTGGAAATACAGAGATAATGTAACTTTTTAAAAAAAATGGAAAAATAAAGCCATGAAAATTATGAGTGACTCTAATAACATTTTCACAGCAAATGTCCTAAATAGTCATCATGGTCTACCCTCAAGAATTAGAAATGGGAATTATATGCTTTTAACTTTTAATTATTTATCTTCTACATAATACATCAAAAAATAAAGGAAGTTATTTTTATATAGTTAACTCTCTCTATTTCACCTCATCACCATATTTTTTATCCTTTATTTCCATCTACACAATCTAAAAATGCACCGGAAAAAGCCCTGGGAAAAACAAAACATAAAAATAGTGCATCCAGGCAAAGAGGGCAGCTTTGCGTTGGCTGATGCTTTGCACTGCTCTGGAGAAATCCTGTCCCCTGTTTCATGGCTTGGTTATCAAGGGAGGCTGCCAAATTGTCAGCTCTTTTTAAGGAGAGACCAAAACATCTTTTATTTTGTTTAAAAAATAGTATTTACAAAATGCCAGCTTAAACTACAATTGATTTTTACATGTAATAAAAAGCACATTTAGATTTTAATTTTGAGTTATAGAAACTAATTCTCCTAAAACAGATAATAGATAAACCATTGATTTGAACAGTGAATTAGAAAGAAATAAGGCTGATTCTATCAACTGCAAGAAAGGTCAGTCTTAAACTTCTGATATATGGTAGGGCTAAAGCCTAAATCCAGGTTCACTAAAAAAAAATTAACAAATATCCCTCATCTTCCTTAAAATAATTAGTATTTTTCTTTTAGGTAACATTGAGCCAAACGTCTAGCCCAAAGAATTTTTAGCAATGCTTGCTTCTGATAAACATGAGCTAATACACATTTAGTCTCTGCCTAGAACATTCATAGCTCTCACATTTGACATTTTCTTTCATATAATGCATCTGGCTTTAATTTCCATGAAGAACTCTGTTTTTACCACTCTCTTCAAAAATTATTATTAAGGATCTAGAAACTGGTAATTGTTTTATGTAGAATCTTTTTTTGGAATTCAGAATAAGGCAACTGTATATAAAATGTGAATTATAAGCAATTATTTGTAGATATGGACTTCCCTGTTGGCTCACATGGTAAAGAATTTGCCTGCAATGCAGGAGACCCAGGTTCAATGCCTGAGTTGGGAAGATTCCCTGGAGAAAGGAATGGATATCCATTCCAGTATTCTTGCATGGAGAATTCCATGGACAGAGGAGCTTGGCAGGCTATAGTCAATGGGGTTGTAAAGAGTCAGACACAACTGAGCAACTAATACTTTCTTTTTCTTTTCTATATGATGATATGACATTCAATTTTATATAATAAACATGCAAGAAAGATAGTCACAGTTAGATGGACCTGATTGATCAAGGTCAGAAGACATGTCCGTTCATTCCATTCAATAGAGCAAAGGTTGTATGAATGGGCAGCTGTGTTTAGTAATGCTAAGCATGAGAAGGAATTCACACCCAATATCTAAAACATGTGGGAGAGTCAAACTTCAACTGCCCGCTGTAACGTACCTTGTAAGATTCCAAGTTGAGTATAATCCCTTGCTAAATATACAGAAGGATATATTCAACCAATCACTACTAACCAAGGCATTCCATCTTTGTTCTGTTCCATCACATGTAGCACTAGCTAAGATTTTGAGTGATACATGGATCCTGCCATGAAGGGTTACTGAAGACTAGTCAATATAATAAATTACTATAATAACTCCAGCAGTCATGTAGGTATAAAGCGATGTGTCATTGATAAGCCTCAGATAAACTTATGTTAGGATCAGAGGAGGGAAAGAATTTTTTTCCCTTTATCTGTGGTTGTAGCATACATTGGGTGGGATAAAAGCAGTTTAAGAAAGACGAGAAAAGGGTTCATGAAAAAAGTGGTCTTCTAGCTGCCAGATTTTTGTGCCTACTTGATTTTTAGCTCTGAGTTCAGAGCTAATGAAGATAAGGAAAGACCCACTAAAAAGTGTTGAAAGACTGTTTATTCCCTGGAGATATATGCAGACATTATGTGGCCATTACAACAATTTATTTTTTTTTCATTTATTTTTATTAGTTGGAGGCTAATTACTTTACATCATTGCAGTGGTTTTTGTCATACATTGAAATGAATTAGCCATGGATTTACATGTATTCCCCATCCCGGTCCCCCCTCCCACCTCCCTCTCCACCCGATCCCTCTGGGTCTTCCCAGTGCACCAGGCCCGAGCACTTGTCTCATGCACCCAACCTGGGCTGGTGATCTGTTTCACCCTAGATAATATACGTGTTTCAATGCTGTTCTCTTGAAACATCCCACCCTCGCCTTCTCCCAGAGTCCACAAGTCTGTTCTATACATCGGAGTCTCTTTTTCTGTTTTGCATATAGGGTTATCGTTACCATCTTTCTAAATTCCATATATATATGTTAGTATACTGTAATGGTCTTTATTTTTCTGGCTTACTTCACTCTGTATAATGGGCTCCAGTTTCATCCATCTCATTAGAACTGATTCAAATGAATTCTTTTTAATGGCTGAGTAATATTCCATGGTGTATATGTACCACAGCTTCCTCATCCATTGGTCTGCTGATGGGCATCTAGGTTGCTTCCATGTCCTGGCTATTATAAACAGTGCTGCGATGAACATTGGGGTGCATGTGCCTCTTTCAGATCTGGTTTCCTCGGTGTGTATGCCCAGAAGTGGGATTGCTGGGTCATATGGCAGTTCTATTTCCAGCTTTTTAAGAAATCTCCACACTGTTTTCCATAGTGGCTGTACTAATTTGCATTCCCACCAACAGTGTAAGAGGGTTCCATTTTCTCCACACCCTCTCCAGCATTTATTGCTTGTAGACTTTTGGATAGCAGCCATCCTGACTGGTGTGTAATGGCACCTCACTGTGGTTTTGATTTGCATTTCTCTGATAATGAGTGATGTTGAGCATCTTTTCATGTGTTTGTTAGCCATCTGTATGTCTTCCTTGGAGAAATGTCTGTTCAGTTCTTTGGCCCATTTTTTGATTGGGTCATTTATTTTTCTGGAGTTGAACTGGAGGAGTTGCTTGTATATTTTTGAGATTAATCCTTTGTCTGTTGCTTCGTTTGCTATTATTTTCTCCCAATCTGAGGGCTGTCTTTTCACCTTGCTTATAGTTCCCTTTGATATGCAAAAGCTTTTAAGTTTCATTAGGTCCCATTTGTTTATTTTTGCTTTTATTTCTAAAATTCTGGGATGTGGGTCATAGAGGATCCTGCTGTGATTTATGTCAGAGAGTGTTTTGCCTATATTCTCCTCTAGGAGTTTTATAGTTTCTGGTCTTACATTTAGATCTTTAATCCATTTTGAGTTTATTTTTGTGTATGGTGTTAGAAAGTGTTCTAGTTTCATTCTTTTACAAGTGGTTGACCAGTTTTCCCAGCACCACTTGTTAAAGAGGTTGTCTTTTTTCCATTGTATATCCTTGCCTCCTTTCTCGAATATAAGGTGACCATAGGTTCGTGGATTTATCTCTGGGCTTTCTATTCTGTTCCATTGATCTATATTTCTGTCTTTGTGCCAGTACCATACTGTCTTGATGACTGTGGCTTTGTAGTATAGTCTGAAGTCAGGCAGATTGATTCCTCCAGTTCCATTCTTCTTTCTCAGGATTACTTTGGCTATTCGAGGTTTTTTGTATTTCCATACAAATTGTGAAATTATTCGTTCTAGTTCTGTGAAAAATACCGTTGGTAGTTTGATAGGAATTGCATTGAATCTATAGATTGCTTTGGGTAGTATAGCCATTTTGACAATATTGATTCTTCCAATCCATGAACACGGTATATTTCTCCATCTGTTTGTGTCCTCTTTGATTTCTTTCATCAGTGTTTTATAGTTTTCTATGTATAGGTCTTTTGTTTCTTTAGGTAGATATACTTCTAAGTATTTTATTCTTTTTGTTGCAATGGTGAATGGTATTGTTTCCTTAATTTCTCTTTCTGTTTTCTCATTGTTAGTGTATAGGAATGCAAGAGATTTCTGTGTGTTAACTTTATATCCTGCAACTTTACTGTATTCGTTGATTAGCTCTAGTAATTTTCTGGTAGAGTCTTTAGGGTTTTCTATGTAGAGGATCATGTCATCTGCAAACAGAGAGAGTTTCACTTCTTCTTTTCTTATCTGGATTCCTTTTACTTCTTTTTCTGCCCTGATTGCTGTGGCCAAAACTTCCAAAACTATGTTGAATAGTGGTGAGTGAGA